CTACCGTTATCGTTATGTTGTTATGGTTATTGTTGTCAGTATCTATTGTTATTGTTATTGTTTTTCCCTTTTATTTGTTATTGATTTTATTGTTAATATTACTATGGTTATTGCTGCCAATAGTTACTGTTAGTGACATTGTTGTTATTGTTGTTATTGTTATTGTTATTGACTTTGTTATTACTGTTGCTGCTGTTAAGGATACTATTACTGCTGTCAATTTCATTTCCTTTTGTTTTGAAAAGTTTTAAATGAAATGATTACTTAAAAGTATTGTAATAATGAAATTGAAACTGAAATGAAAATTTGAACCAGAATTAAATTATAGCAAAGTAATCCATCATCATTATTATCATCTCAAGCAAGAAGGAGGAGGGAAATATCAATATGTATGCTCAAATAAATATTCATAATGTTTGATTTATGTTAGATCTAGATATTTCCAGATTATAATATCAAATTTAATAATATCGGAATGAACAAAAAGAATGATAAGAGAGGAACAGATAGAGAGAGAGAAAGAGGAAATATTGGACAACACATGAATATTCTACACCCTAGAAGATTATCAGAAAAAATAGCTGAAATCAAAGTGTGGATTACTTTTACTGCAAGAATTCTTAATGTTGTATTTAATGAAATATTAATAATTTGAGGTTTTACATTTTTATCTAAAATAAATCAAATAACTAAGCTAACCACAAATATCACTCAATTTAATCGCGTCATTTATGTTGTCTATATCAGTCAGGATTTATCCCCTTCAAAATTCTTTTCAAATTTCAATCAACTTCCAAAATTAAATTTTTAAAACAACAAGTATTTAAATAAGGATGAAAAATCAAAAAAATTTAACGTATTTGTCTGAAAAGATTGGTTATTTTTGGATGAATTTATTTTAAATTTCGATTTCACAATGGACAGGCTTGTCTGCAGAAATAAATTACAACATTATCAAGTTGATCCGTTTTATGTACATTCACTTTATATTAGACTTTCCACTCTCTGCCAAATCTGTCACTGTAAGCACTTCTTATTTTATTGTTTTTATTAATGCCTGATGTTTGTTATAAGAACAAAAGGAGGAAAGAACTTCTCAGTGTTCTAGAATGTTCACCGAATTGTAAAATAAAGCACAGTACAAGCAAGCATCAGCATACTTTTTGAATATTTTTTAAATTTGAAATAGACTGGAGAAGGGAAAAAATTTTTCAGGCGATTACACCTTCATTCGGATCAAACTTTCTGCCTCAAACAGTATGAACATGTATCAGCTATGTCAAAAGGAAGCAGACCAGGATGGCTTACTATATATAGTTTACACCAGCCAATCGGATTTAGTGTTGGGAAAACTCCGAAAATCACAATGCAAATATTCTGCCGGATTATGGAAATTAAAGCTACGTTCAAACCAAACTTCCATAATATCCAACAAACGGGGTGACGAAATCTTGTAAGTAAAATTAAAGCAATGAAGAGGATATAAGCTAACAATGGACAACGTAAAACAAAAACGTCTCAGTACATACATGATGTAGCGAATATTGATAGGGTTCGCTTGAGAGGATGATGTCGAAGAAGAAACAACTCTTGCCAGCGATATAACGCGAGTTGTAGTAGCGTTAAGCTGAATTGAGTTGATTCAGGCACGATGATTTGAGTTGTACACGCACCAAATTGTAGACAATTTATTGATAACAGTCCCCTCGGTTAATACCATCGGGTTTCTATGTATTAGGAAATGGGAGTGGTTTTAACAAAACGTTAAAAAAAAAGTGTACATTTAGATACAAAGGAAACTGTAAAGATACAATTACATAATAAGCATTGGAACAAGAACAGAGGGAAGATTAGCATGCAAATTGGACATTATTTGTCATTAATATAAAGATGTGAATTTCCGTTAGGCAAAGATAACAAAGAAACGTATGGGAGATAATTTTAAAGAATGTAAATTGGTTAAATGATTTACACTATTGTTAACATTTATTTACAATAAGAAATTTATTTGATTATATTTTTGTATGACTGGAGTCTCGCGAATCGGAATTCGCGACACTCCCAACGGGAAGAGAGAGTTCAACTGAGAGTTCCTCAGCTGTATATGAAAATGTATTAAGTTTAATAACGGAGCCTTTGTTGACGTGGTTTAGTGAATGGTTTCTACTAAATTTGTAGGGAGGATAATGATATTTTTTGAACGTGAATTTTGTCTACGGGTTAGGCAAAATAGGGATTTAAATAATTCGAATTTCAATTTGATTAATACGATTGATATCACCAGAATATCTATGCAAATGGTTAATAATTTCCAATGATTGACTATGTTTTTCAATTTTTCTTGTATCGAATCTTCGACTTGGTCGAGTTCTTTCAGTAGTTGGTTTGCCAATTGTTGTCCTTCCTTTGTGATTTCTTCCCAAATAGAGTCGTCTTCTTGTTGATGTGATATTAAGTTAATTGTATCGTGATGGTGGCTTACAAGTTCCAATTCAGCATTGATTCTCTCGATTTCAAATTTGCTTATTAATCCCCTCGATGTTTTTGAGTGGGATTCCATTAGTCTTACAAGGTGCTACTCGTAATTGCCCATTTTCCCTCCTGGCTATTACATCATTTCTTTGTAGTAGCATTTCTCCTTCTGTTAGTACGAAATTCGTTGTGATATATATATATATATATATATATATGGATTATTATCGCAATATTTTTTTTTTATTGCAATATTCTTCCCCCCTCCCCCCCCCCCTCCAGATTACCGATGATGAGATCTTCCGGTTATCAATCCTGAAATAAACAGATTATTAAAATTTCGCACTGCACCAACAATATCCTGAAACAAGCGGCATTATTATTAATATGTAAACATATAAGACATAAATGCATTTCTGTACGTGGTTGTACGGACGATGATGACAAAAGATATCGATGATTACAAAACAAATTTGTAGGCACAAAAATTTTCATAGTTCATGACAAACGCATTCCAAGAAGTGGATCACAGCCATGAAAAGTACTTGGAAGTGTAACCTGTTTAAATAGGCCGATGCTAATGGCATCATCATATATCAATGACTTTTAAAAATAATTATGAAAATTTCAAATAGAAAATTACGGGATATTGAACTTAAGCTCATTGTTTATGTTTCTTGAAAGAAATGCATACAAAAACATCCATAACACAAAATTCAGGTTTATATCCATCTTTAAAAAACTAGCTTTTTGCTAATTACTACAATAATACGTATTCAATGGAAAAGAACAGCTCTAATAACTGAGCGGGTAACGGATCTGATAACTATTAGCTAAATATTACAAAATGTAATTTACACATAGTGCCACCACGTAATATTACCTGATGTTATTTCAACGTAATGTTAATCAGATTGTTTTTGTTCATGTATATCACATATTTCAGTTTCTTTTTTCTTACATCATAATTTTGTTTTTATACGAAGTGAATTTTAGCTTTCAACATTTTGTAACGTTATGAAGTATTCCGTATTGCATAAACTGATAACAGCTTACTTTGATATAAATAAGCTTCACGTGGATCAATTTCATTTCCCTTACATATTTAATCCTGCTCTACTCAAATTCTCATCTACACTACTTTGCATAAGCGATAATGATCGGTCATAAAACCGATGACAACATAAAACAAAGCATTACAATAGACAACTGTAAGACGTAAGCAACGAATACAAAAATAAACCATGTTTACGAGATTACTTTTTCATAACAGCAGTCAAATTCATTAAAGATTTCACGATCG